CTGCTTCTCGACTCGCACGCTGCTTCCCGACTCTCTCTGGCCGTCGTAGCCTTCCATTGTCTTTTACCAGGCCCACCGCACACGTGTTCTGCAGACGCTCGTGGCCAGGGTCACGTAGGTCTTTTCTACGAACTATGCACTTGAAAGGACCGACGACACTTTGATGGGCCCGACGGTGCCTCGGCTCTCGCGACATTGTTTATGGTTCACCCGATATCTCTTAGGCCTTTCATCCACGATACTACATGGTTATCGTCGTCGAGGAGAACATCAGATACATGATCGCTGGCAGGGTGAGAATCATCACCGTCGCTGTAGTCCAGGTCGTGCTCGAGCTCGCCGAGTTGCTGCTACCTGTAAATTCAAGAGAAAGGTAAGAGATTAAAGCGAAAATGATTTTTTTTTAACGAATCACACACTGTCCTCTTTTTCTCCGTTTCTTATTTTATCGAAGAAGTAGGTTAACAGAGAACGAAGTTTAATAATTCGAGAAACTATTTTTGCTCTTTTCATCTGGTCCTTTTAGATTTTATTCTTTCATTTTTTGAGATTATGATTCTGGATATAAAGAGGCGGATGAAAACTGGTAATTAGGGAAATTGGTAGGTGCTTTCGTGTAATGTATCTGTCTTTTCGTTTCTTTTTTCATGTGGCTCTTTTATTTCAGCATACCATTATTAAAAACGGCAAATGAAAATTGGTAATTAAAGAAATTGAGGACGATCCTAGATAGTTTCTTTTTTGTTTCCACTTTTTACTTGAGCATAGAGACATAGATATTAATGTGAATGAATATTAATAATTCCAGAAGTAGATACGATATTCTTGTTGCGACAGAGTGTTAGAAATACTATTCCTTTCTTTTTTCTGTGTATCTTTTCGAATCAACGTGAAGATTTTCGAAAATTCTTCGTTAATTCTAACGTTTCCCTCCACCGTCTTAGAAAATATTTAATTTTTGCTAACAAAATCTTTTTTTATCTCTAACTGTTAACTTCCCGAATAAGCTCTTAAGGGTTGAACTTTTCAGAGTAATTTCACCGTTTAAACTTAAGTTACCGTAGATAAGGAAAAATACGTATCTTTTATTTTTGCCTGTTCTTCTCATCTACAAAGTTTCATCTAAATCGCAGCCAGATCGTTCGCGACGTTCCCTTGTTATGAACCTTGAAGCGTTTCACGGTATTCAATAGGGATTGGCACATCGTAAACCCGCGTGAACGTCAGATTTCCGATAATCTGGCTACAGTTGGAGCGCAAGATTGCAAGCTAGATTTCCCGGGGGTAAGCATGTCTGAAATGTCTCGGCATTTAATACCTGTACTCTCTGTATGCATCAGATTTGTACCTAGCGAATATAAGTTTAAGATACCATCACAGAGACATTCTATTGTTTATCCCGTTCTTCTTTAAACATCTGAAAATCATTGATCGAATTACGAAGCTTAAAGAAACACTGGAATATTTGGTTACCGCATATCAAAAAGATACGAAATATCGGCGTATCGTTCAAACAGCTTTGCTCACCGTTCAAATTATACGATAAATAAAGCTATCGATGGGAAGCTCATTCGAAAAATGCAACATATTCGTATTATTTTCATGCGTTCGATATATCGTTGAAATGCTCTCGTGTTGATTTAAAAATCGAAAATAAAGATTTTATATATATCAAATTTCTCATATGAGATGAGACCAAATACAGAGAGCACTGTAGCTCTTTTAATTAAAAAGCTGCGTAATACGTCGATATTGAAAAACGTAAGTAAATTGATGAATATATTATTTCGTCAATAATTATTTTGTCGGTTGAGAACGAAATAGTCGAGTGTCAAGGGAAGAATTAATTCGAAGATTCCTTGGACTGGCAGCGCGCGGCAATATCGAAAATCCATTTGCCACAGACTTCCGGGAGCGTGTGGTATTAATCAAACTCTGTCGCGGTTCCATCGGAGGTCAGCGTGTTACCGGCCACCCTCGTCCGAAACCAGAGGTTTTCCTCTCCAATTAGAAGCTCACCGAAACGATTTCACACACGCGACCCTCTCCACTGTCCTCTTTCTTAATTACAGTCGAATAAAAAGAATCTAAAAAAAAAAAAGAAAAAAGATATTCCACCAGGGAGAAGGAGAGAGAAGACAAAGAAGTAAGTGGTCGAGGCACGTAGGTAGTCCAGCTCGTTATTTCCGGTGAAAATGTAGAGTCTGCCACTTCCGGCGCGGTTCCTTTGCCAATTCCTTTCGGCCAGAAACCTGTTTCCGTAAACTTTGCTCCGTACTTTTAAGCCTTAATCCTAAATTATTTGCGAAAGGGCGCACCCACTTCTGTTCTCGGTATAAGGTCGTTTTCTTTCCTCTTCTTTTTTCTTCCTCTTTTATTTTATTCTTCATTGGCGAAGCCGCGGTAAATTGAACAGTTGTTCCAGTTAAAACAATGGGGCAGGGCTAGGCAGGAAGGACCAATTAGGAGCCACGGGTCAATCGGAGGCGAAATAAAATGTCTTGCCCTCTTGGACTTGTTAAAACGTTCGAATGTTCCGTTTAAAGTGCTTAGCCAATAACCGCTTCTTTCGAAATCAGTAGAGTATCTTGATGAATTTTTACTGTGTTATGGATTCAATCTTTTCGTCGGCTGAATAGTGTAATCTTTAAACGCCACTCTGTCTCTCCTCTCTTCTGTCCTCGTCTCTCTTTCCATTCTGCGATGGAATTATCGAAAGTTTCAAGAATACGAATTACAGCACGCTGGGCTGGTTACATTGTGCGCGGAAGGGTTCACAATATTTCTTCAATTTAGGAGGAACCTTGGAAGTTTAAAGGAAAAAGGGAAACGTTTGGATTATTGAAACTCTGTTGCTATTGTTCGGTCGAAACATTCTTTGCTTTTCTACATTTTAATTTAGTACTTGTTCACTCGTCGCTGCATTTTTATGAAGTATTCGTTTCACCGTTAAATTTTGACAAAAGTGGCATTGTTCGCTCTTCCTTTTTCAGAACATTTGTAATGCAAATAATAGTTGTTATTTATGCATACTATTTTTGTTTAAGTTTTGTTGAATTTTGTTCGTATTTCCCGTGCTTTGAAAATATTCCACGACACTATGCGATTCGAAATACATAATTCATATACAATTAGAATTTAATAACCTATAAATTCGTATAAATATTCATATTAATAAAAATATTTATTTAACCATATCGAATATGTTAGATCCTGCAAAATATTGAAAACATCGATCTATTCCGTAAACGTGGAATGAGAGAGGATAGAGTTGTTCATATATAGGAATTTTTATAACATATATGTCGGGTTTATATTAGGATTAGGATTAGGGGCGTGAAACGAATCTTCATTTGGATTACACGTTGTCGTTATGCAATAGAGAAGACATTGACATTTAGTTAACTAAAGTCCTTCAAACAGACAAACAGTCTTTGTCCCAACTACAGGAAGATAAGGGAAATCTATTTTTCTCACGAACGACGCTTCCCACTAGCAACTTTCCCTCAAGGACGACTAGCATCTTTCCAAATTGACCAAATTGACCAATTAACAGCAACATCAATTTCCCTCGCTTTCCGAACGAAGGCTTTTCTCGATGAATCCGAGGATCTCGTGTCCTTAGACACACCCCATCATAGCTTTCCTCTGCAGCATCATCGTGACGGAAAGCCATTCTCTCGTGAGGTCGCATTAGCGAATTACATAGCGTCTTTACGCTCGGTGAATATTCTACGTTTTAACAAAGAGTTAGTTTAGTAATACTTGTACCGTAGATAAGCAAGTTGAGTACAACTTGGACTTTGGAAGAAAGCGCATTTTGTTATCCCACTGACCGCGGATTCGTTATCGAACCTAAAACCATTGTCATTAGTGTCTAATCACCGCGGTTACTTGTCAATTCTGCAATATCCACACTTGTACTAATAATCATATTTGTACTAGTAAATATCTTCTCTATTGCATAACAACAATGTCTAATCCAAATGAAGATTCGTTACACGTCCCTAATCCTAATCATAATGTGAACCCGACATATATATATATATTTTTTTTTTATTCGTACACTATTTTTCATCGCAAATATTTGTCTACTGCCTATATTCATTTATTAATTTAAATATTTACATATTTACTATTTTTGTTGCAATGAACTGACGATTTCTCGATATTTCAATATCCTAAATTCGTACAGACGCAGAGGGAACTGTCTCTGGTCTAGCACAAAAAGTGATCTGGCACGAAACCGTGTTGTTGTCGGACCGTTTTTACGTCGTAGTTTGTCTTGGAAAGATTTTGCAACGCCGGGTGTGAGGCAATGTGGGCGAAGGGAATCGCATTAGAGGCGGTGCGGTCGCGGCGATTAAATTTTCAAGGAACAAGAAGAAAAGTAACAGCCAGCAGTGGAGCAGCGTGCCAGTTCGCGAGCAAGCGAATTAGCCGCTCTTGTTTTGGATAACGTAGCAATAATGGAGACAATCTCTAGAATTGGCGATTGAAATCTCTTTAAATAATACATTTTGCTTCTTTTTAGTCTTGAGATTTGCGTTCTAAATAATTTTGCGTGATACAATTTTTTTCTATTCTGTATTCTCCGTGTTAATATCGAAATTTGTATCTTTCTTTCTTTTTTTTTAATTTTATTGGTCATTTAATAATTTTAATTGGTCGTCTGTGATGTATACGGGTTTAGGTGATACATTCCCCTTGACATTTTGCTTATTTTATCCATCGATATGTACGGATTGAAGTTTTCGTATCTCTTGTATTAAAATATGTATAATGACGGATGTACATAAATATAAATATAAATAAATTGATCCGATCGATTTATGAAAAGCTTTATTTCTATCTTTTTGGTGTATCTGATATAGAAGTTTGGCGGTAAAGACCTTCCCTATTTATATACTCGACATAATTCAAATGAAACTTTTATTTTGGAAAATCTACTATCTTAATTTTTACTAACTTCTCTTATTACAGAAAAATTCAACCGCTTTTTCAAATAAACATTCGATAACGTTTCTACTATGCACGTGGTTTCGACAGATGTATATTGTGGTGAGATTAAAATTGCAAATATGTTATCCAACAAAACAAAAAAGATTTCTTTATATTTACAGTTTGTACATAAATATGTTTGATTTGCTTGTTCGTATATATTCTCCACTTGTTTGTTTTTGTTCTGGATTTGTTTGTTTACATTTTCTGTTTGTGCTAGATACAGAATCCTAGTTATGATTCGTTGTGGAAACGTTCGACGATAAAAGATTTAAATGGAATTTCTCGAAATTCTTCTTGTTTACCCGCACATGTATTATGTTGTTATATTCTCATGAATCTTTCACGTTACG